AGCTACCTGATCATAGTCTTGGCACCTGTGGTGAAAAATAGTAGCCGCTACAGCTCCTATTTCAAAATTTGCATTGAGACCTATATATTAAAGGTTCAGATAAAGGCTTCCCCTGACATTGAATCTAGTTGTGTCCAACTCTGGAGGGTGGTGCTCATCTCCATTTCTAAGCCAATGAGCTGGCATTGTCCAGTCACCTCCAAGTTCATGTGGCCAGCATGACTGCATGGAGCGCCGTTAACTTCCTGCCAAGGCGGTGCCTATTGATCTACTCACATTGGCATTTTTTCAAACTGCTAGGTTGGCAGAAGCTGGGGCTAACAGCAGGAGCTCACCCCACTCCCTGGATTCGAACCACCAAGTGCAGCAGCTCAGCGGTTTAATCCACTGCACCACCGGGGGGGGGGGGAGGCAGATGTATATATTAGCATATTCAAATATTGCACAGATATATGTCCTTCTTTGTCCCCTTTCCTGGTGATGCCTTTTCTTTCTTTTGGGAGCAGGCTGCAGGTGTCAAAAGTGAAGTGACACCTGAAATTATACCTATTCTATTAAAAGTTGCTTATTCACAAGATGGGCATTTATATTGTTCAGTGACACCCTTTACACTCTCTGCTCATGCAGTAACAACAGCTGGTCTGTGTTTTCCCCTATATTTAGGAAAATTCCAGGAAGCATGAGCTCATGAACAGCTTGTGAGATCTTTTCATAGAACAGCAGGACCTGCAAGCAGCAAGAGCTTTCCTTTATGGAAAACAAATCCCTTAATGATTTAACCAGCCTATGAAAATGCAAGTCATATGGACAGAGCAATTGCTTTCTCATATTTAGGCATTGTGAAGATTCAAGAGATGAGCTTATTCAGGATTAGCAAAAGAATTAGCAAAATTCTATCTATTCAGATTCACAAATCCTGTCTTCTCTCACCATTGGCAATGTCAATGGACTGGTAAGAGGAACATCCCAACAACTTCTGCATGACCAACTTGCTGTATATTACTGTGCTGCGCCTCCAAGTAAACATTGACTTTTGATGTTCCTATTGTAGAATTGACAAGATTTATTCAGAGGAAGTTTGCCATTATTTTCCTCTAAGGCTGAGATATTGTGACAGGCCCATAATTACCCAGGGGTTTCCATGGCTGAAAAGGGATTTGATCCTTGGTTTCTGAAGTCCAAGACCCCCTGGAATAATACATAGATCTTCCATAGCATATTATAAACTGTAGATAATAATATACAGATTTCTTGGCACATTTAACATTTTTAGTATTTACTTTGAGATTTGATATATAATGCTCACAGAGAAATTCTATCTATTCAGATTCACTCAGCGTTAAATAAGGAAGCTGCACATTGCAACAACTAAATCTCAGCTCAATAGGTAAACACAGAATGGACATGGGTATTAGTTTAATCTTCGTTATCCAAATAAAACTCTCTCTGTGTTGGATGTTACATTGAAGAGAAAATAACGTACAGTGACAAATTTAGGCTTGCCTTAGACCTCTTGAGCAGAGTTTCTCTGGACCAGAGCTGGCTGATGAACCATTGGCTTCTGGTTTGTGGAAGGTTACAGATAAGAAGCACACACACACACGACCTGGGGGCATACGAGTATTAAATACTAGTATTAAAAAACCCTAAAATTAGGGTGGTAAATAAAGAACAACACTCAGAAAACTGGGGAATTCCGGACAAGAAACAATCTGGGCCAGCTAACACCTCCAAATAAAGGACCCCCCCCCCCCCAGGCAAGAAGCAGCCAGGGTTTGAAGCAGCCAGGCTATTCAATGCTAATCAAGGGAGCCAATTGCAACATTCACACTTGCCTCTAGCAGACAAGAGTTCTTTCTCCCACCCTGGTCATTCCACAGATATATAAACCCCACTTGCCTAGTTTCCAACAGACCTCACAACCTCTGTGGATGCCTGACCATAGATGTGTGTGAAATGTCAGGAGAGAATGCTTCTGGAACTCACAGCAACCCAGTGATTCCAGCCATGAAAGCCTTCGACAACACAATTTTTATTGAGTTTTCCTAAAGATAAAACTTAACCTCCAACCCCAATAAAATAAAAATAAAATAGACTCTCAAATAAAACATCTGAAACAGCAGTACAGTGCTCAAGCCTTCCCTCTCAATAATGTAAAACTTGAAGCAAATGCCATTTAGGCAGTTTAAAGAATATTGACATTTTTCTTATGTTGTAATTTCCAAAAATCTTGTTGTTCATTTGTTCAGTCATTTCCGACTCTTCGTGACTTCATGGACCAACCTACGCCAGAGCTCCCTGTCGGCCGTCACCACCCCCAGCTCCTTCAAGGTCAATCCAGTCACTTCAAGGATGCCATCCATCCATCTTGCCCTTGATCGGCCCCTCTTCCTTTTTCCAAAAATCTTACTTGATACATTATGAAACCTTCCATAATGTTTATTCTCTCAATTTCTGATTATGGACATTGATCATAGGATACAATGGCAGATATCAGGCAAATTGATGCCTATATGATATAGCATTCTGCAAGAGACTGAAACAAGGAAAACACAAGAGCTAATAGTGTATGCAATCATCCTAAAGGACACTTTAGAGCTGTTACACTCATAGTACCCTTCTTTAAACAGACAGAAAACAGTTTAGGCTCAAACCAGGCTAGAAAATAGTTCATAGTATTACTATTGGATGTGTGTTCTTTGCTGTAGTTGTTCTTAAAGTCATCCTTTTCATGTTCTGTGCCAGGGACACTTGAGATGACTCAAAAGTACACTGAAGTTCCTCTGATCAAGAGGAGCTTCCTGCCCTGAGACCAAATCTGGACTTTGGGGTGATCAAAAGAACTATGCCTCCTTTCTCCAATGATGTATGCTCCCACCTCTAAAAAAACCTTATTTGAAATTGACCCTGAAACAGGATCCTCACTCTTGCTCCAGCCAAGCCTGAAGACAAAAGGTGAGTTTCTGGTTAGACTACAGAACACCCAAATACAGTACTTTGAGTCTGTGTTGCACTTTAGCACCTCCTTGTGGCACCTTTCATTTATCACCTTTCCCAGTGATTTCAGGAAGGACCCACAGCTGGGTTGTGATGGAGCGAGTTTGTGAAAAGTCAACAATGTTGTGTGAAAAGATAACATTGCACTTCCAAGGAGGTGTTTCATTTACTGTAACTATGTCTGACTTCCTACTGACTATATTAATGAGACTTTCTTCGCCGGGAGAAGGGATATAATTCAATTGGAGAGTATATGACAATTGACCAAGTTCAATGTGTGGCATTTCAAGTTCTAATAAGATTCAGATAGCACGTAATGGGAAAGACCATTGACTTATATCTGGAGAGCTGTTGTCTATCAGAGCACACAATACTTAGCTAGCTAGTTTAGACATGGTCCAATCGACTTTAATGTCCTATGTTTAGAGCAGCGTTTCTCAACCTGGGGGTCAGGACCCCTGGGGGGGGGGTGACAAGGGGGTGTCAGAGGGGTCGCCAAAGACAATCAGAAAACACAGTATTTTCTGTTGGTCATGTGAGTTCTGTGTGGGAAGTTTGGCCCAATTCTATCACTGGTGGAGTTCAGAATGCTCTTTGATTGTAGGTGAACTATAAATCCCAGCAACTACAACTCCCAAATGTTAAGTCTATTATCCCCAGACTCCTCCACCAGTGTTCACATTTGGGCATATTGAGTATTTCTGCTAAGTTTGTCCCAGATCCATCATTATTTAAATCCACAGTGCTCTCTGGATGTAGGTGATCTACAACTCCAAAACTCAAGGTCAATGCCCACCAAACCCTTTCAGTATTTTCTGTTGGCCATGGAAGTTCTGTGTGCCAAGTTTGGTTCAATTCCATTGTTAGTGGAGTTCAGAATGCTTTTTGATCGTAGGTGAACTATAAATCCCGGCAACTACAACTCCCAAATGTCAGAATCAATATCCCCCCCCCCCAACCCCACCAGTATTCAAATTTGGGCATATCAGTATTTGTGCTAAATTTGGTCCAGTGAATAAAATACATCCTGCATATCGGATATCTACATTACGATTCATAACTGTAACAAAGTAGCAACAAAAATAATTTTATGCTTGAGGGTCACCACAACATGAGGAACTATATTAAGGGGTCGCAGCATTAGGAAGGTTGAAAACACTGGTTTATAGTCTCACATTTGTCTGGTTGAACTACATGCATTCCATGTTTATTTCCTTGAATAATACACATTACAAATACTACCCTAATTTTGCTTACTGAAAAGTTCAGTTTGCAATAACATCACAAAAGTAAATTATGTGTAACTGGTTCAACAATTTGCATGCTGTGTTTACATTTTGAACAATAAAAACAAGAAGGCTACCATGAGACTTGCATCTATTCCATGCTACTGTCAAAACAATGAGAAAGAGACATTATACCACTTGTCATATTCATGCTCTATATCCTCCAAGTAAATCAAATTGTTGATATCTTAATGTACAGCTGTCCCAGTTTCCGAACCCGTTCATTGTAGCCTTCCAATGAAGATATTAAACAGACTCACCCAAAAGTAAATAAATGAAATCATGCAATCCATACATTGATAAAACAGATGGAATACTAAAAACAATCAAGCCAAGTGTTTTGCTAAAACACAATGCACTTTCATTATGCATAGTAACTTGGGTTAATCCTCCAATTTGCAAGAAAGAACAAAACATGGCACATTTAAAAGATTGCTATATGAGAACTACTCAAAACATGCAACATATATAAGTTGAGAAAGGACAAAGTCAGGATTGTGTGAAAATATCCTGTCCTTTCAAAGGCAAAACTGTCTTAGCTGAGACTGTCTCCCAAGGCAGCATTTTAAATCACCCAAACCTGTAAAACACAGAAACTGACACTTCAGCTCAGTAAAGGATTTTCATGACATACAATAATTCTTCCATTACCTCGGTTTCACAACAAAGCATACTGTGTTGAGCTTATAATAGCAAAGGAGACAAAACAGTCCTTACCACACAAAACAGCTATCATGTTCCACTAACATCTCCTTGGAACTGAAGTATCTTCTTGTTGAAAGACACACCTTGAAAAGTCCTTCCAGCCAATCAATGATCAGACCTGCTCAGATGTCAACAGCGTGTGAATCGCACTGTGAGAGCTGAATCCCAATTGTTTCCTCTCGTTTGTTCCTTAAGGGAAAAAAAGAGAGAAATATGCATTCTGTTTCAAACAAATTTATGGATCTCAGTGTTAGATCATAGTGTTGAAGAAAAGCAGAACTGAAAAATGCATAATTCCACTGCTGCATATATYRATATATATATATATATATATATATATATATATATAATTAAAAAGAAAAAGAAAAGAAAAAGGTTTCAAAAGAACAAAAAATAGTTTCCCCTTTTACATGGAAAGTATGAGAACAATATGTTTGACAGGAAAGGAATAAGAAACAGAAGAAAGAAAAAAATGGTAAAAAGGAGACAAAAAACACACTCCCCCCCCCCCAAAAAACCCTAAATTGTTGTACTTCCAAGCTGTGTCCATATTGGGAATCTCAAATATTCTTTAAAAAGTCTATTATTATTAGTATTAGTATTAGTATTATTAGTATTATTTTCCTTCCCTCCTCGGATTCGTCTTTTGTTGGCATAGACTTCTAATAGTTAGGCTGGCCATATTAGCAATGCCCTCTTCTCTTTTTCCATGTATACTCGGAATAAATGCCAGTCTGTCTTCTTAATTGATTTTCCATAATGGTTAAAACAGGCATGGGCAAACTTCAGCCCTCCAGGTGTTTTGGACTTCAGCTCCCACAATTTCTAACAGCCAGTACGTTGGCTGGGATTTCTGGGAGTTGAAGTCCAAAACACCTGGAGGGCCAAAGTTTGCTCATGCCTGTTTTAACCTAGTCTGCTAGGAGCACTTCCTTATATACTCTCCCATTCCCTCTAAGTTTGGATCACAGGTATTTCAAATCACTCAAGAGTTCCAGATAACTTCCTCAAAATTAGATGGTTTTTACAAAGTATGGAAATATGTATTGTGCCGAAGGGAAATATTTCATGTGCATAACCACGTTCTATACTTCTGGTTCATACTTCTATCATATGCAAAATTAATGTTACTAATGCATTGGATTCCTATCATCTCAGCTAATTTGATGGTAGGATAGGGGATGAGGTGGGTCATTGTCTCCCAACACATCTGGTAAGTGCTATCGCAGGGTATTTACTTATTTTATTTATTTTTACTTACTTTATAGGGAGCCCCCAGTGGCACAATGGGTTAAATCCTTTTGCCAGTAGGACTGAAGACTGACAGGTTGAAGGTTTGAATCCAGGGAGAGAACGGATGAGCACCCTCTGTCAGCTCCAGCTTCCCATGCAGGGACATGAAAGAAGCTTCCCACAAGGATGGTAAAACATTAAAACAACTGGGTGTCCCCTGGGCAATGTTCTTGCAGACAACCAATTCTTTCACACCAGAAGCGACTTGCAGTTTCTTAAGTCACTCCTGACACACACACAAATAACTTACTTTATTGGTACTGTTCCATTATCTAGAAAAGGATAGTTCATTTTATGGATGGGGGGAGTTGAAGGAGGAAAATAATTTTCCCCATTTTCACTGGTTATTCCCCGTCTCCTTCCCATGTCCTGGCAACATGGGTGGGGGGGGGGGGGATAATAGGAACACAAGAGGAAATGGTTTAATTTCTTCAATCCACCCTCCACCCCATAAAATGTACAATTCTTTTCTGTCTAGACCCCCTTGTGGCCTCCGCCCGGATAATGGAACAGTACACCACACAGCCCTATATCTCAGAACATCAAGGCAGAAAATCACACATTATCTGCTTTGAATGGGTTATCTGTGACCTCACATAACCCAGGTCAAAGCAGATATTGTGGGATTTTCTTCCTTGATATTCTGGGATATAGGGCTGATGGAAGGGCCCCTTATTATACCCTGCCATTCTCCCTATGGGGACGAACAAATTCACATCTTCATCATAGTATAAAAAGTGAAATACAAAAATTAAAAAATAAAACAATTAAATTATACTGTGTGGATTAAGGTAAAATAGACTAAAATATAATAAGTAAGCTTAAAATAGCCTTTAAAACTCACAATCCCATTACAATGACCATTGCAAACAGTTCTTACCTTTCACCACAGCTACTCTACTCCTCTGAAGGCATGGTCTGTCTATATGAGGCAGCCATCCCTCTGCCACGAAGCAAGGCAGTTGCTTGAATTTCCTAAGATGGGTGAGAGATAAGAACTATAACACCTTTTTATTTTGAAAAAAGGGAAAATGAAACTGATATATACTTGAAGCAGAATTATCCTGTTATTGAAAGACACATCATGAAAAGACCTTCTAATCCATTGTGTTGAAAGTCTCAGTCAAAACTGGTGAAGTCTTGAAAAATAGATAGTAATCCTCTCCTTTCTTGGATGTGCACCAATGAAAACTGGCAGTCACATTCAGGCACTGGTCAGCATTCACCAATGTGTCTCTGAATTTTTGGATCTTCATAGAAATCAATTTTGGGGTGCCTACCTTCAGCAGATGGCTGATGTTCACTATTACATATATTATGTAAGAAATATTGCCCATCGCAACATTCTTTTAGTGTCTTAATCAACACTTGTTGCTGGCTAACATTTTTGAAACAGGATCAAATATCTCACAGAAACAATGTGGCACATTATTTCGGCGTAATGTCAGAATGTAGGACTACGCCATGCTGTTAGAGCATAAGAACGAAAATGGCACATTCATTTCACAGAAAGGAGCCTTTGTCCGGGTGCCATCTGCACAGACAGCTTTTGAAGTTCGGGTTTTTAGCTTCCTCTTAGGATTGCTTCCACAGTGTGATGAGTTACAATAAATTCCATGATGTGAGGGAGAGAGCAAGAAAAGATTTACACAGCTTGGCATTCACAAATGCAAACGTTTCAAGGGCAATTGCAGGGGAAAAGGGGGGGGGGAGGATTATTTCGAGTAGGGGGAAAAGGCAGAAACTTATTGATTTGAAAGGTGACAATGAAAAGATATTTTAAAAAATTTAATAAAAGGAATACAACATCAATTCTTGAGGACACCTGCATCTTAACGTGCCTGGCATACTAAATAGACATCTACAATTTAAAAGTATACATTGATAAACAGCACTAAATTTACATAGAAAAACACGGCTGCCCTTTAATAATCTAACCAGTGCAATAAAAACAAAACAAAGCTGACAAAATTATGAAATAAAACTATTGTACTCCACTGAGCTGCTAAACTTGACTGAAAGGTTGTAGGTTCAGAATCCGGGGACTAGCGTGAGCTTCCGCTGTCAGCCCCAGCTTCCGCCCACCTAGCAGTTCGAAAACATGCAAATGTGAGTAGATCAATAGGTACCGCTCCGGCGGAAAAGTAATGGTGCTCCATGTAGTCATGCTGGCCACATGACCTTGGAGGTGTCTACGGAAAAACGCCGGCTCTTCAGCTTAGAAATGGAGATGAGCACCAACCCCCAGAGTCGGACATGACTGGACTTAACGTCAGAGGAAAACCTTTACCTTTACATATTCTCCAAGTGTCCTAGATTGGCAGGAAGAATCCCAATTACTCCTCTGCCATCTTGCTTATTTAGCAGCTTTTACAATATTCCACTTTTACGCTCCTCTTCCTCCCACTTTTCCCCTTTGTTCCTAGTTTATTTTGTTGTAAACTAGAGTTGTGTGCAGAATTCGTTTTTCCTGTTTTAGCAGTTCTTTCGTTCCTTTAGTTCCCTTCGGGAGTACATAACAGGAAGCCCCCTCCTGGTACAAAAATCAGCTGAACATGAAAGCAAGAGGGAACCAATTATCTGCTCCCCCTCTGCTTTCGTGACCATGTGGCGCTCTTAGCTCGACTGAGCTCCAGGTCATTGGCTCTTCCTTCCTTGGACCTCCTTGAAATACCTCCTGGAAAGCTACATGGCTTCTGCTTCTGTTGAGAGAAAGCAAGCACACCTGCCTTTCCTCTAAAGTAGAAACAGCTTTAAGAAGCATTAAACGCAGTCTCCTTCACAAACAAAATGATCCAGAAAGAGTGGTATCCTAACTCTGATGCTTTTAATCCAGTTCTTAATGAAGGATATAAGGACAAACAATTCCAGAAAGAGGGGTATCTTAAACCCTCCCAGATCTGGCCTCCTCCTCCTCCGCTACCAACATGGAAAACTTTAGAGCCAGCAACAGCTAGGCTTCCAGCTTGCGTCAGTGGAAGGAGTGTGTGTGTGTGTGGGGGGGGGGGGAACAAGGCTAATCGCACGCAGCCAAGGAGCTTCCTCCTTCCCTCCCTCGGGGAAAGAGACCCCACCACGCAGGAGCCTCAAAGCCAAGCCACATCCTGCCTCTCCTCTAGAATAGAACAGCTTTAAGAAGCATTAAACCTGGTCTCCTCCTCTACAAAGGGAAATGATCCAGAAAGAGTGATAACTCTGATGCTTTTAAAAAATCCAAGTCTTAATGAAGGATATAGAATGGGAGCCTGTGAGAAGTCCCCCCCCCCACCCCCATAATGGGTGCTTTCTTAACCCCATTGCTGCCAATGAGCCGATATGAACCCCCCCCCCTTTTTTTTTGGATGATGAACAAAAATCCCATTTGGCAGCGTGCCCATTTTCAGGAGGTGCTGGAAAACAGATATGGGGGCTTCTAAAACAAGCAAGCAGAAACGGATAGCGATTCACCCTGAATGCACAAGCCTACTATAAACCACACTCGAAGTCCAAAAGTGGTTTATACTTAATTAAGTCAGCAAGGGGAGAGGAGAGCAGGAGGGATGTGTCTTCCCAGTAGGCTCTGGGCAAAGCAAACTGCTGCAGTCTTCCTAGCTTGTGTGTTCGTTTTTGCATTCCTAACTACCGTTTAATCTTGCTTGGTCATGTGTCCCTGTTTTCAGTTGTGAAATGTTGGTGGGTATTAAACTAATAATAACTAAGAACTAATAATCATCTCTTAATTACCACATTGGCAATCTTGTACTTCATATTTTTTGCTCATGCCCTTCTTCATCCCTAAATTTTTACTAGTGATGTAGAAAAGGCAGAGGAACAAGAGACCAGATTGCCAATATCCGCTGGATA